CCCCCTTCTCCCTTTTGTTTGTTCTAAAGAGTTCTACGTGTATTTTAAATCTGTTCTGATATGGATTTTATATATTTTACAGATTTAGTTAAGGCTGATTTAAACCGTCATTTATGTGTTATTTGTATGCTAATATTAGTTTGTTTGTTGTGCTCCATGTGCCTGTCATTTTTCTTAACTGGGAAAAGTGCCTCAGGCAGTCCTTCCTACTGACTTGAAGTGAATGGCTGCGCAATGATTGTGGATCTGTGTTTATTTACAGCACCTTCAGGGGGCATCTTTGCAGGTGCAGATGCACATTCATTCTATACATGGAAATCACACAGTGCAATTGAAACCATAAGCATCATGAATATAATTTATTGTATAATTCTTAGCCTGAATTGAAAAGCTCAAAATTGAATTGAATCCATTTTGATGATGAATCAGTGGTATTCTTTAAAAATGTAAGGTTGACAAGCAGTTGAGAATTTGTCACAGTGAAGATGCACTCAGATTATTGATGATTATTGATCAGTGGGTAGCTCGTGGAGGCTGCCATGTTGAGATCACATGACGTCTAAGTACTATTGTGTAAAATAAGTGCTTGCAAGAGCCATAAAATAGTGCTTATCAAGTAGCTTCAAAGCAATTAGCCTCCACATTCACGTTTCACTGTCATGCCTCTCTTCGTACACTGATCATCCTTCAACGTTTGAAGCTTTTTTTACTGTGCACCATAAAATGTATTTAGCCTGACCATATTGAGTAGTGAAATGAATCCGTACCAATTCAATAGTAAATTAATTGACTCTCACTGAACAGTGGACACAGTCGAGAGAGAGAGACAACTAGTTTGCATTCAGCACTAACAGAGAGCTAGTGCTTCTATGGCTAGCACTCATTTATCTGGATTCTTTTTTAGCTCTGATCAGATGCAGTTATTTGAAATCGAATGATTTAAAAGAACAATCCAAACTAATGTGATTGAGTGCAATTGATGGGAGATTTGTAGGATAGAAGCCGCAAGGTACTGAATGCTGAATATTTGAGAGAGTCTCAGTGCTGTCTGAGTCAATTTATTTTGCCATAAGCACTGCTTTGGAACTTTTGAGTAACTTTGAATTTATAAGTCCTAAAAGTTACAAGTTTTTTCCCCCCTGCCCAGGTTTTTAGGATGCATAATATGCTTGCACCTAGAAAAAAGGTAGGATACTGTCACTGAGATGGCACCCTTTCAAAAGGTACTAAAATGTACCTTTTAGCTTTTGTACCTTGGCTTAGAGTACTGTGATAGATTTGGAAAGGATGATTAAAAAAGGATTTTTAAATGATTTTGAAAGTCTCTTATACTCACCAAGCCTGCATTATTTAACCAAACACAGTAAAAACAGTAAGATTTTGAAATATTTTGAAAATAGTAAACAGTAAGTAATCTTTCAAAATAAGATTTTGAAATATTATTATAATTTAAAACAACAGTTTTATATTTTAATATATTTAAAAAATGTAATTTATTTTTTAATGGCAAAGCTGGATTTTCAGCAGCAATTGCTCCAGTCTTCAGTGTCACACGATCCTTCAGAAAAAATCTAATGATGATTTGGTGCTAAATTATTAATAATGGTTGTTCTTATTATTATCATGAAAGTTGAAAACATTTTTTTTTCTTTTTGCGGAAACTAATTTTTCAGGATTCTTTGTTTAAAGGTTATTGAACCGAATTTATTTTTTGTAACATTATAAATATTTTTACTTTCACTTTTGATCAATTTAATGCATCCTTGCTGAATAAATAATATATAGATTTTTTCTTTTATTTTTTTGTACCTTCTTTTTTTTGAGAAGATTGCCACCCTCTCACCCCTTTCAGATGTCATGCTGTACCATTTTAATCATCCTTTTCCTCTCAGCACCCTGCTGATATTTCCTTATTTTTCATCTAATTAGACAACTCAGACTTTAATCTCACAAACTAAATAATGTGAAAATAATGCATATTAAATGGGACTTTTGAACTTCATCAGTGACCTTCCCAGATATGGACGATTAGTTCGGCACAGTGTGCAAATGTCAGTATATCTGGGTACTTGCTTAGGTAAATAACTTTTGATGCTATCTATGGCCCTTGTTTCATGAGCGGTATGAGTTCTGCAGTTAAGATGAGTTTTCAGAGTTATGCAATGCTATACAATGAGTCCAAGAGCTAGATACTGTAGCTGTGTCTGACAGACATCGCTCTAATGTCAAAATCTATCCATGACTTTTTCTGTGGCCTGTCAGTGGATCTCATGTCAGAAAGGGAGTTGTCACTTTGCACTTGTGAAAATGATGGAAGCAGCATAACTTTTGATTACGTTTAGAACTGATACCCAAAGCTCATGTTGTGAAGCTTGGGTTTCTGTCACAGGTTGACCTCAACTATGACTTCTAGTAAAATGTCAGGTTAATCAGATATAACATAAGCTATTATTCAGCCAACATAACATAGACTATTTTTTTCTCTTGTTTTCCATATGTATAAGGTTAAAATGCTTAAAAGATGAGTTGGCAGTTGATGAGCTGAATTGCTTTGCATTACAATCCTGATATTGATTTATTCTGAAAAGTGGACTTGTTTTGAGGATGCAACTGTAGTAATTTACAAGGCTTTTATCATCATTGTTTTATTACTGTAACAGCAGAAATACAGTAAATTCTATAAAAAATATCCTATCATTTGCAAAACAAACTTTCATTGATGTTTTAAGATTAAATCTCAAGTTACTAATTCACTCCAAATCCAAACTACTATGAAAACATTAGACAATTTATTGAAACTCAACTGCAAAAATGACTTGATTGACTTGACTTCGACACGAACTTTTTTTTTTTGCATATCCTTTTTCAAGGTCCCTAATAATTTCAGCCTGATATGAACAGTCCGTGCTGTGTTATTTTCTGATCATGTCACAGTGTAATGCAGGCTTTTCAAAGATATTTGATACTGAGGGATGAAAAATGGAATATGGTCATAAAAAGCTATATTATGACAAATGTTGTTCCAAAAACCTTTACTAATAATATAAAGTGGACCTTGGAATATAAAAACTAAAACAAAATGTGTGTTATTTTTTGCAGCCAGTAGGCTATACATTAGCAACCAGGACATAGTTACTGCAGTAGGGAAATTATAACAGATAAGAGAAACCAGATTCAGTCTTGAGTGCTCTTCACATTTATTTCCTGTGCTCAAAATGGCATAGTGCTCGTGGCTCCAGGCTACATATTTCACAACCCACATTTGCTGTTACTGTTGTTTTGCTGGTAGCCAGTCACTATATACAGAGCAATTGTGACGTCTACAGGAATTTGCAGTGGGTCAGTGTGCTTGCACTGCTGCTTTTGGAGGAAATTTGTGCTGACATCACTTGGCCAGACAGTATTTTCAGTATGATAAATGTTTAATTTTACTGTCAGAGAGATGGCATTGCTAACAAAACCTCATTCTGTTGGTTTATGAAACTTTAATGAAACTGTTATGTGTAACATTTTTAAAGAATAGTGGAGGCCATTAGGTTCAATGTCAGTTCAAACATTTTGTCATCAGTGGCATTACACTTCAATGCGATGTTATTTAGCTGACTGATTTGACATGAATAGAGTACAAAATAAGGCATGAAACTCTAAAATCTGCTGTATTTATGTATTGCCTCAGATGTTACTCAGCTGTATTTGTATTTATCGATAACTTTGATTTTCAATAAATTAAAGAAAAATTTGGATTCATTTCAGATTTTATTTAATTCAATTTTGTTTATTCATTTATTTATTTGTGTTGGCTGAATGATTGCTTTTTGGCAAGCGTGTACATGCATGCGTGCGTAAATAAATAATCTAACCAGAAAAGCTAGTTTAAAAAATCAAATAAAGCCAAAATGTGATGTTTAAAACTTGCTTTCTATGCTATGTTATTTATTTGTTTATTTATGCTAAATAGTATTTGATAAATAACAGGATTAGTTTCTTTGATGGGATGCCAGATTGTACTGTATCCGTCACATGTGTTGGCTTGTATGAATGTGGCAACGTAACACATCACAGCATGACCTAATGAGCTGTTTTTAATTGCAGTATATTCATTAATCTATGTTTGTGAGTGTTTACTAGATACATGCTGAGATTTATATTCGTGACTATTATAACTAATACACAGTGTACCTTTCTGTCATCTTTCCTGTTATTTATCCAAGATGCCTACATAAGTGCTTTGACATCCATGTCGTCCATATCCCGAAATAACCTTCTCTGCCCCAGAGTATAATTGGCTGTCTAATAAGTTATTCACTGCTTACAAGAGTGAGTCGTTAACAAAGCAAATGGCCTATTATCACTCGTGAATGATTTTGAATATGATAACCACAGAGGCACATTATGGTCCAGAGTTCACAAGTAATCAATGGCATATGATTGGTCAGTGTTTCCATGTAGTTAAAATGAAGAATTGGAGTGAAAAATTCAGTTCTTCTTATTACTGTTATGTTATGTTGTATTCGTCTGGCAGGTTGAATTCTTCCATAGCATTCAAGAGAAATATTTAGCTCACACATACAGCAGCAACAGATATGATTGGTCTCTTTGATGTGACCCATTATCAATCAGCTATTAGATCATTACACGACCTGCAAATTGAAAATTGCCCAACTGTGGTGCGTCTTTGATGTTTTATCATATTGATGGCATTTGAAGCCGTGTATCTGAGGCGTGAGATTGAACAGTCATCTGTTTGTGTTGTACAGGTACATGGCTATCATCCATCCCCTGAAACCACGACTCTCAGCCACAGCCACTAAGGTGATCATTGTGTGTATTTGGGTGCTGGCTGTGGTTTTGGCCTTTCCTCTGTGTTTCTTTTCAACCATCAAAAAATTACCCAAGCGGACCCTCTGCTACGTTGCCTGGCCGAGACCTTCAGAGGACCCTTTCATGTGAGAGCTCTTTAAATATGCATGCACAATTTTCTTCCTTTCCTCCCAGTTTATTTGTAAAGGACTTTGAGGTACAATCTTGTGTGAAAGGTGTTTTATTATTATTATTAATATTATTAATAAAGCACCTTTCACACATAATAATAATAGTAATTGTTGTTGTTGTGGTGGTGGTTTCATCAACAACAACAATAATAATCCTAATACTAATAATTACAAAACTATTTGTTAATATCACTACTACTACTACTACTACTAATAATTATAATAATATTTATAATAATTAACATCATCATTCAACAACAATAGTTAAACAAGTATTATTATTATTATTTTTATTATCATTAACAGCTATTATTATAATTATTACTATTATTGATATTATTATTATTATTAATTAGTATTACTGCTATTGTTGTTGTTAATAATAATAATAATAATATAGACAACTATTGTTATTATTATTAACAACCACAATGCTACTACCACTGCTACAACTACTAGTTGTTGTTAATAATAATAATAATAATACTACTAATAATAACAATTATAGTTGTTATTAATTATTATAAATATTATTCATAATCGTTATAATTAACGTTATTAATAATTATTTTATTAGTAATGTTATTATTAACAACAACATTAACTATTAAATTTAATTTTAGAATGCAAGAATCACACACTGTATAAGTAGTGTTAGTGACTCCCTGTTTGTATCTTCACTGGCAGCACAGGTGCTACAGGTGCATCTCAATAAATTAGAATGTCGTGGAAAAGTTAATTTATTTCAGTAATTCAACTCAAATTGTGAAACTCGTGTATTAAATAAATTCAATGCACACAGACTGAAGTAGTTTAAGTCTTTTGTCTCTGGTTACAGGTATCATATCATAGTGGCATTGCTGGTGTACGTTCTGCCCCTGGTGGTCATGGCAATTACCTACACTATTGTCGGGTTGACGCTTTGGGGAGGAGAGATTCCTGGAGACTCATCAGACAACTATCAGGGCCAACTGCGAGCCAAAAGGAAGGTAAGCAGTTCACGTTCTTGAGGGTCTCTTAGATTGACTCTTATAAAACATTGTCTCACCAGAGCCTTTGAGCTGGAGCAGAAGTACAAATGCAGAAAAGTAAAAGAGAATGGAGAGATGTTATAATACAAACCTGTAAGACCAGATGGTCCAAGGTTTGGGCAGTGCAATTGAAGTGGTCATTAAATACTAATCCCACGATCCTGGATGTAGAGCTCAGATGTACAGTGATGTTGTGTTCAACTGATGGAATGACTGGAACACACGCAAACATCAGAGTAAACACACCACACACTCACATTTAATGGGTCATTACATGTGGGATCAATAAGATATTAGAGAAGGAAGTTCTCTAAAGAAAATGGAAAGGGCTGGGTAGTCTGACAGGTCATTTAGATCACGTGTAGGAGGAAGTCAATGAAAGAGAAGGACAGATAAAGAGATGCAGACAGTGATAAACCCAGGCAGAGCTGGCTTTTAGTTGGTTTTGATTTTTTTTACACAAATACTGCTAGCCACGGTGAAGGAAAAATGGGCTAGATGTTTGTCAAACTAATTAAATGTTAATATTTGCTCCTGCTATGGAGATTATAGCAGCAACTGACAGCCTGCGGGCCGAATCTGGCCTGTCAATCATTTTTATCCACTGTTTTTGAGGAAATCGCAAAACTCAGCAGTGAGTTCAGCATTTAACAGTTGTCAGTTAGCAGGCGTCAACCCATATCCAAACTGGAGTGTTTCATTTTTAAACGTGCTTAATCTTTTTTCTTTTCTTTTTCGTCCATAAACCAGCTATTACTTTACTGAATATGAACTAGGTCAGCATGAGTTTAATTGCACTTATTTGATCATGTTTTATCCAATCAGTTTTTTTTTTATTATTAGGGCTGTCAATTAATTAAAAAAGTAATCTAAATAATTACAGTAATTGCATGATATACTGAAAAATGACATTATTAACAATATGTTTTAAATGCAAGATGGCGTTTTGTATGAACAGCTCTACTCAGTCTGTGCCACCTGCTTTAATTATATGTCATTTGGGAGGCGTGTCACATGTAGTACAGGTCAGGGGTCCTAATTAAATGTGTTTAATGATTCATGATCATTACACTAAATGAAGTAGATTAACAAACTGACAGTTCTAGCATGACTATGTAAATCTTCAGCCTTACAAGAGATGAGTCACAGCAGCTGATACAGCTGCACATCAGCCCATGTCAATGATCCCATACACAAATGTAATATATGTGACCCTGGAAAACCAGTCATAAGGGTCAATTTTTCGAAATTGAGATTTATACATAATCTGAAAGCTGAATAAATAAGCTTTCCATTGATGTATGGTTTATGATAGGACAGTATTTGGCTGAGATACAACTATGTGAAAATCTGGAATGTGAGGGTATAAAAAAAATCTAAATATTGAGAAAATTGCCTTTAAAGTTGTCCAAACATTACATTTCCATATATGAAATATATTGTCATATGAAGTCTAAATATAAAACATATTAGAAATTGGAACAATTTCATATATTTGCATGTATATCTAACCCATACTATGTTTATGTACGTGTAAATGTAATGCAGTTTTGGACATATCATATCATGTCATGTACATGTATATCCATCCTAAAACCCATCAAGTTGATATTATATAAGTAAATATAAAAGATATACATGTAAAAATAATTTTTTTTGTATTATATGTTGTTTTAATAAAGTTGCATATAAAGATATATTGTTGGCATATATGGTTGCTACATATCATGTACAAATCATCATATAGATATTAACATGAAAATATACAAATTTTACTATGGGAATTAAATTTTTTCATGTTATTATATTCATCTTATGAATATTCATCTTTATCTTCTTATAGATAGCACTACAAGAATACACTCTTCACTCTTGAAGAATTCAATCTTGATATAGGGCAGTATATGTCATATATTACATTTCCGTATCATATGGTGACATTAAAAAAAATGGGGAAAAAGAACCTTGAAAGTAGAATGGACAGATATGTTCGCTGTTAAACTCGGTACTTAAAGTGTTAAAATGGCTAATCTAATTTATACTTCTTGGTAATGAAAGTGATAACATACAGGACCAGTAAAGGCAAACTTTTGTGAAGGGAAATAATTTTCGAGGGAAAATAAGTATATTTTACTTTTGACTTTGTCCATTTATGCTAAATATTTAGTTTTGTTTTATGTTAAATTTTTAGATTTCAAATTAAATGTTCAGATCTCATAATTACTCGTTTCAAATGTAAAATATAGAATGAAATTAGATGAAATTCCCTTTCATAGGGGATGTGGCATTTATTGACATGTTCTTAGCACTGAATGCAATAGATTTTCCTTGATAACCTTGACACGGTAGTGGTCAGCTTGGGGGCATTTGCACAAAAAAAGCACTTAACAAATTAGTATGGTTGATCTATAGCATTCTCTGACTTAGCTAATGTTAAACCAATCAAGAAAAAGTAATCAAAAACTCCCAATTAGGGGGGAAAAACACAAAAGCTTAGGCCTGCTTCCAATTTCCTGTTCTTTCACAGTATATACTGAAATCAGTGAAAAACAAATAGATTGCTTTGTGGTTTCTTTTCTAGTAGACTAGTGACAAATGAGTGTAGACTGATGTGGAAAGCGGCTCTGAGCGACTTTGGTTTCGTAAATTTGCTGTTGTTTTAGCGAGCATAGCTCTATTTGTTTTCTCTCTGATTTGCACCAGAATCAGATTTGGAGCGTGTGATCCCTTCTGTCTCGAGTTTGGGATTCTTGTGTAAATACATTAGTGCCACCTTGATGTATTCTTCTGTGTATCATGGATGAGAATCCTGCAGGCACCTCTAAGTGTAGCCAGTGGAGAAATCAGTTAATTAGAGCCAGATGGTCCATTAAGTGGAAATGATGTGACATACTCAATTGATGAGCTATTTAAGATGTTTTAAAATGAAGTTTTCCAAAGTGTGCACAATATTGCAGCTCAACAGAGAACATGCATTCGGGCTGAATCTGGTCTTGCAAGCCATTGTTAGGGCTTTGACGAGACTCACTCAGTCCTGGAATACAGCCGTTCACTGGTTCAATAGACATTTGATATATTCTATATTCCAATCAATAGCATTCAGAGCTCAGTCTGCCAGTTATATGTTTCATTTACGGCTGCTGCGATTGTGCTGGCTCTCTATTTCGATCAGTGCTACATCTTGCTCGCTCCCTACGGCTGTCCCTCATCATGTATCTTTCTTCCATTAGTAGCTGGCATGCCGAATATGTGTATTTGGAGCTGGTTAGCTCTTGCACGTTCCATATGCCCCCACTTTATGTGATGTGTAACGGTGATTATGGAACTCAGAAGCATGAACATCTTTTTCAGCTTTTAGAAGACTCTCAATTAAGCCTGGGGACATTTTCATTTTCATAGTCAGTTCAAATGTAACTCTTTGAGAAGATTGGAGAAGCTGGCGGGTGACCAATACTCATCTATTCGAGGGCTTTATGTAGCCATTGACAAACCAGAAAAAGCAGTCAATTTTTTTTGAACATGAATGAATGGAGCACAAAATGGTGTGGATATGTTAAAAGAACATCAGCTTTATGTAATGTACTTTCAGATTAAAGTAGCCTGTGCCTTTCTTTGTAATCTAATTGTGGAAAACCTTCCCGGTAATGTTTCCAATCATGCACTTCAGATAATCTTGCTAGCGTTCTATGCTATTTTATGATGAAACAACACCTGTTCCTTGTCTACATTATGAAGTGTTCGCAAAAATACTGTCAAACATGGAAATTGTGTGTGTTTGTGTGTGAAGTTAATCAACATTATTTTATATTGTAAAGGAGATTAGGACTTTCATAAAACATGGGTTTCAGAAATAACTACAGAGACTAAAGAAAGTGCCGCAATAATTTGCGTTTTTGGTTGAGAATTTAACAGAATTACAGAATGATTACTCGGAGTATTCTACAGTGGCTGCAAAATGAATTGCATTATATTACACTTTGTCTGCATGTATATTTCTGTCATGCATATTTAGTTCATATGTCAACTGCAAAGATTTTATTTTTATTTTATTTTATTTTTTATTTTACAATTTTCTATTTCATTTTATTGTATTTTCTACTTTATTTTCATTTATTTTGTTTTGTAAAATGAATTCTAAGATTCTTAAAGGGATAGTTCACCCAAAATTAAAATTCTGTTAATTACTCACCCTCATGTCGTTCCAAACCCGTAATACCTTTGTTCATCTTCTGAACACAAATTAAGATATTTTTGAAGCTTTCTGACTCTCCATAGACAGCAACACAACTGACATGTTCAAGGTCCAGAAAGGTAGTAAGGACATTGTTAAAATAGTCCATGTGACATCAGTGGTTTAACCGTAATGTTATGAAGCTATGTCGTGGTACTCTCGTGAATGCACATCGAAGACTGACACGGAAGAGAAGAATTTGTTGAATAAAGTGGTTATTTTTGTTTTCTTTGTGCACAAAAAGTATTCTTGTAGCTTCATAACATTACGGCTGAACCACTGATGTCACATGGACTACTTTAACGATGCCCTTACTACCTTTCTGGGCCTTGAACGTGTCAGTTGCATTGTTGTCTATGCAGGGTCAAAAAGCTCTCAGATTTCATCAAAATATCTGAATTTGTTTCTGAAGATGAACGAAGGTCTTACAGGTTTGAAATGACATGAGGGCGAATAATTAATGACAGAATTTTCATTTTGGGTGTACTATCCCTTTAACCTTAACATCATCTTAATCCAGAGCAGAATGCATTGTTACTAAACATAAACGTTGTCATTAAAACTTCACATGTTATCATATTAGCTTAAAGCTTTAGGCCGCTGCACTTGACTTCGCTTGTAGGATTTAGGCATCATGGGTCGAAAACCTCACTAGTGGTTCATCTGCCTTCAGGATTACCAAGGCGGTGCTTACTTTGGATTGCAAGAATCATGTATTAACTCTAAT